TCTTGGGGAGGGACATGACATTGTAACAAGAGAAACCTGCCTTCCTACTTCTCTGAACTTAAACAATTTAGGAAAGCAGCTGTGCTGCATTTTGCCTTTAGACTCTTCTGTGGCTGGGGCTGTGCCAAACTCAGCCTGTAGATCATTGGGCACAGCTGTGCTTATGTCAGGTTCTCATAGGCTCCTCATAATCTGCTCCCCACACTGTAGTAATTTCACACAAAGTATTTGAAATAAATCTCATCCCAGCAATCCATGTGAACACTTGACAATTTAATGCTAGGACCAGTGACACTCCCCGCCACCACCCCCACACACACAGTGCTCTCATTGCTTCAAGTTTCATCTTCAGAGAAGCCCTAGGGAAACACCCTCTTCACATCTTGCATGGGGTTTTGCGAGCATCCTGGATATGGCCTCTCCCAGCTTCCCACTAAACTACCAGTGTTGTCTCAGGAATTTTGAAAGCTTGGATTGCTACCTGTTGCCAATGGAAATAGACTTCGTCTTCTTCCTCTTCCTCCTCTCCTCCTCCTCCTTTTTCTCTGCTTCTCCTCCTCCTCCTTCATCTCTTTCTCTCTCTCTCTCTCTCTCTCTCTCTCTCTCCTGCTGGGGATCAAACCTGGGGACTTACATATGCTAAGCTGTGTCTTCAGCCCTGTGATCTGTAGTGTTGATTTTTGAAGGTGAGAGCTGTTCTCCTGGAGCCCCACTACTGTATCTTTCCTATGTCCAATTTAAGACTATAATGGCCAAAGGAGCAACTGAGGAGGGAGAAGGGACCTATCTAAAATACAAGGACCTGGTGCCTGGGGCAGGGCAAACAGGACATTCCCAGGAGCGCATGCATGGCTGGCTCTCTCCCTTGTCCTCACACCTCAGTCCAGCCACCCCATCAGTGAGAGCATCCCAGACACTGCAGCCTGAGTGAGGAGCTGAGCACCCCTGCTTGCCTTCCAGGGACAAGCAGAGTATGACCAGTGCTGAGTGCTGCTAGTATTCCAGGGACCCTGAATTGAGACTGACAATACTCTGTGCATACTGTGTGTTTACAGTGAGAGTCTAGGGGATTCCCCTCCAGCTTCACCCTTGAAATGTGACCTTGACATTCACCCATGAAGGCATGAAGTCTAATCTCCCTCCTCTTGAACCTAGGCTGCTCTTAGCGACTTCTAATCAGTGAGATGCAGAGTTGCCAAAGGACTTGATTTTCTTTGTCTGTAAAACTCTATCTAATGAGTTACTAGCCTTTTAAGTTTTTAAATTAAGAGTAATAAATTTCCCAAGGACGGACATCACTTATCAGGTCCTCTTCATTTATAGCTTGGAGCATCTCTGAGCTAATTATGCCATAGGTTAAAAAAAATGGAGAAAAACAAATGTAAGAAAATATATTAAAATGTTCACTAGTGCTTATCTTTGGGTGGAAGAATTCTGTATAATTTTTATTTTTATCTTTGTAGTCTTAAATGTTTTAGTTTGTTTCTTTAAACAAAGTATAGTTGTTACTTGTATACTTATCAATTTGTAAAATTCCCTTGAGGTTATTTCTGTGTTTTCTCTTCATTCACAACAAGCTCTCCTCTTCTGGGAATTCCATGTCTGAGTCTCAGACAACCGTATTTACATCAATCAAGTCTGAATTCAAATGCTACCTCTTCAGAGAGACTCTCCAAGTCCCCAGCCCCAGCAATGTACTCTTGTTATATCCACAGTGCTGTCTACTGTTTTTTCTGGTCCACTGTTTTTTTCAGTGAGGGACTTTGACTTGTTTGCTGCCATGTCCCCAGAGCTAGGGCAGTATCCGACAGATAGTATACACTATTATATTCACAGAATAAATAAAAATGTCCCATGTTACCACCTGCTTGTTCACTGCTAACATGACCAAGTAGGCTCTGAGCAAAGCAAGACCAACCAGAAAATTGCCCTCAGGAATCTGGAACATTCACATATGGTAACTTGCAAATGTGGAAGCCAAGGGGTGGCCGTAGTCTGGCTGTGGGCCAGAAAAACAGAAACTCCTGGTCTAGAAAGAAGGGAGACATGCTTGAGAAGAAGGAAGTGAAGGGGAGCTTTCTAAGGCCTGGTCCTACAACCCTCCTGTGCTGGCTGTGTTTTAGCCTTCCGTCTAGAATCTTCTAATTCAGCTCTATGTTTCAGGTCAGGCTGCCTGGGTCTGGTACCTTTAGTACATGGAAGAGTCCAGACTAATATTCGTAATACTGTCACAATCATGCTTTAAAAATTCATAGCTAAAAGATTTGGAGGAAATACTCCAGAACGTTTGCCTCTGAGTGGTAAGACTACTACCAAGTTTTCTAATGAGAAAAGAAAAAAAAAAAATTCCTGAGACTCATAGAATGACAGACTTGGAGAATTCCAGGGGATCGTGTTCTGTCCACCCCCTTTATTTGAGGAAGAACTAAGAGGCTCAGAAGTGAAATGACTCATGAAAGTTCACAAAGCCAGGCTGGGGCTTTCCGATGCCAGGTCAGTATTTTTTCCACTGGGGAATATTTGGCCAATGTTGATGTCTCTCCTCCCTCCCCTGCTCCGGGGCAAAAAAAAATGCTAGACTTCAGTTATTTACTCAGTAATAAATTCTCTCATTCATCGTGGAAGAAAGCTCCCACCTGTGGGTTAACTCTGGCTTGACTATTTGCCCTGCTGCATCCAGACACTGCAGGAAGCAAGTGCCATGAGTGATTAATGGCACCTGCCCCAACTGCATGGAGAAAGGGGATAGAGTGGAGAAAAGCATTTTTCTAATTCCTTCCCCAGTGCAGAGCAAGGGTTTACTTTAGGAGAGAGGAAAACAGAAAGTCACAGGGTCCATGCCTATCACATGTACTTCTATCCCTTGGTGCACATTGTGAAAAGTTCTCACTTTATCGCAGCTGCGTGGGCAGAAGACAGCCCTGAGAGAGACGGTAGGGTTGAGCAGTTTATCCTCACCGCCCTCGAGGAAACCTGAGGACTGGAGCCTATTTTCAGTATTTGCAAAGAAGATTTATAAATGTTACCTCACCAGGGAGCCAGCTGCCAACATCCCCCCAAATGCAGGAGAAGCTGGAGAAGTGACCTGGAGGGAACCAGAAACTATCTTTCTCACTAGAGAATTTTAGACAGTTGGAGGATTCCAGAGATCAGATTTCTCCGGGAACTCTGTTAGTTCTGTGTCCATGTGCTGTCATTTGTGAATTTGTAGAATTTAGGTTGGGATAATTTGAGAGAGAGAAAAGGAATTTTCTGACTCTGAAATTGGTTAATCCCTGAATTACTTTGGGTTTTCACCACCTTTACAAATCTTGGAAGAAGAAGAAATCCCCTTCATCCTGGATAATTTCTCTGTGCATTCCAGGCTGCACAGATGCAGAAAAGTCACTGAATGATCTAAACTTGGAAAGGCTTTTGCAACCATGAATTCTTAAGAGCGGACTCTTACCTAAGGCACTCACTGTTTTGCTTGCTTGTTTGTGTTTTAAAGATCTTAACCTTTGTTTTGTGTGGCAACAAGAGGCTACAGGAAACATCTCAGGAAGCTTTTGACATCCCTGAGTTATATCGAGAGGCAAGTTTCAGACTTCTATACCCATGGCTCCTTGAGATTCTAGAAGATGGACCATCAATAGGTTCAGAAGGTAAGACTTCATTCTGCATGGTTCCCCCTAGGAATAATGTAGACTCAGAGACAGTTTTGTTATTTACTGACGGTGCCTCCCTCCCTGTCAGTAGCAGTAGGTGGATTCCATCATCTCACCCTGGCTTGGGTCCTTGGAACTTTGCTTCTAGATGACTGTGCCGCCTCCCAATGGCATTTTAGCCTCACTTCCTGTGATCTGCCCTCCACAAGATAATGGGGAAGTTTCTAGACTGAAGCCCTGATTATGTCTGTCCGCTTGGGTAACTCCCATCACCCACAGGATGTTGTTTGCTCTATGTAAGGTTCATCCTGATCTAGTCTTTGCTTGCCTCTCCATCCCTATCTCTGACTCTCTTTTCCCTGGCACTTTATGTCATAGCCAAGTGGAAGGACATGCCACTCCTGACCTTTTCCATGCGGCGTCTGAGGACAGTGTCCTGCTCTCTTCCCAGTGCAGTCCTCCTCGGCCAGCCCTCCTGGATATGCTGTTCCTTCCCCCTTAGACAGGTTGGAACTCTGTTCTGGCTTTGACCCCATACTATGATCCCAGGTTTGTTTACTTCCCTTACCAAAACCTTAACTTCTGCAGGCAAGATCCATATTCAGACTAATAGGGCAATGATCGATTGGACCATGGAAGCCTGACACATAGCTATGCGGTGAGGGCAAGCACAGGGACCAGGGAGTTTCCCAAATACGTGGTGTTAATGGTGACTCAGCAGGGGTTACAGCTCATGACATACCCTGCACAGTATCTCTACTGTTTCACTTAGTAATCTGCTCTGTTGGCCTCATACACTGCTTCTCCCCAATACACTGCTTCTCCCCAAAACAGTAGTTATTGCAAAAAACAGACACAAAGGAGGCAAGTACCAGCTATGAATTGTGTAAAAGTCCAGAATTTAAAGGTGTTAAAATGTTAGATCTAGAGGAGACTTTGGATCAACCTGTTCAGGCAAGGTCAGAAGTCACCCAGAAAGCCTGTGGTAGAATCTGCGTCTCATCTCTCACTCCTTTCCTATTTCTCTCTCTCTCTGCCCCCCTTCGCCTCTCCTCCCACCCTCTTCTTCTCCTTCTCCATCTCCCTGTCTCTCTCTCTCTCTCTCTCTGACGAAGGAGTTTTTAGCAATTATAATGGCATCTTATATGACTAACTTTGTATGGCCCATATGATGACAGATATTTAATTCTGATTGCGACAATAGTGAAGAAAGTAAGGGGCTCATATTTTGGCTCAGATTCTGCAGCTGCATATAGCTTAAGTCTCCAGGTCCCACAAGCAAAACTTTCCAGCATTTTCTCTGGAAAGGTGAACAATGGTAACTGGCTCATGGGGTGTGCATGTGTGACTCACCTTTTGAAGCTTTGTTTTTGTCTCATAGTAGGCCATCACAGGAATGGACGCTCGGTAGTAGGTTTCCAGGCGCTTGGCAATGGTCTTGGTGGTGTCATCTACGTGCTGGCTGCTCTGGTTCCTTTGGAGAAGGCGGTTGGTCATGGTGTCTGCTGAGCAGTCCATGCAGATCACCAAGTGTGGGTCTCCAATCTGGGGGTGGAGAGCAGAGCACAACATGGTCAGAAATGCCAGTTCTGCAAAGGCCCTGCCTCTTGGTTTTCTCAAGCCCCCAGTACTACCTCGTGGTTTTAGAGGGACTGGACTTCACAGCTCCTCATCTCCTGAATAGTCTTTTGCTGTGTGCTGCCTCAGAACTGTCTCTTGTCCTCATGTTTAAGGTTATCCCACATAATGCAGGGATTACATGCTACTCAGTGCCGCCATAGTCTGCCTTCCATACTTAGTGGAGGAGTACGCTGCTATATGAAGTTATATGAAGACCTACTGAGGCAAAGCTGACCACTTCTTCCTCCATGCCCCAAGCATAGCTTATTCTAGCTACTAGTAGCAAAATATAACTGGGTGTGTGTTATGTGGGGGTGAGGGGAGCATAATGGCTGAGCCTGCAACGATTGGAGTCAGCCTATTTAAGGCCAGATGCTGGTGTGGCCACTGGTCTCCAGATGGACTGTATGACTTCCGTACCTCATTTTATTTGTAAGCTATTCCTTCACTGAGACACAGAGCCTGTTCCTCTACCCCCTCGAATCTGAACTGACCTATAACTGTTTCAAGTGACAGAATATAGTGGAAATGATGCCACATGCCTTTTTGGAAGTGAGATCACAAGACATTTAGCAATTTCTGCCTGTTTTTGTGGAATAGTTGCTGAAAGGAAAACCATCTACCATCAAAGATCTCCAAGTGCCCTGACACTACCAAGCAGTGAGGAAGACCCAGATACCACTGGGAGAGGCCATGTGCACAGAGACGCCGGACTGGTACCCGGCTCCAGATCTGTGTATGCAGCTTTCGCCCCATCTGTCCGACCACTATGTATTAGAGACCCCATGTGGAAGCCCACGAGCTGAGTCCATCAAACTGTAGAGCTGTAACAGGCAAAATATTTTTTGTTGTTGTTTTTTGGCTTTCTTTTTGTTGTTGTTGTTGTTTGAGACAGGGTCTCTTTCTGTAGCCCAGGCTGGCCTCATTCTTATAATCCTCCTGCCTCATCTTCCTGAGTGTGGGATCCACAGGCACAATGAGGATAATCACAGGGTTGCTGGAAGGCTAAATAAAATTAAATAAGGTAATGTAGGTGTGCCGTTTGGCATATGGCAAATAGTAAGCACAAAGCATTAGCTGTTATGCTTATTTCCTCTAGTTCTGTTCCCAAGTTTGTATACAGAAGGCAATTAAGATTTTTTTTCTCTTTTTTATGGTGCTGTGGTTTGAACTCAGGGCCTTGCACTTGTTAGGCAGGCACTCTACCACTTGGGCCATGCCTCCAAACCTTTTTGTTTTAGGTAATTTTCAAAAAGAATCTTGCAATTATGTCTGGGCAAGCTTGGATCATGATACTTCTATTTACACATCCCACATAGCAGGGATGACAGGTGCATGGCATCATGGTACTGGAGTGTGAACCCAGGACCTTTGCACTTGCTAGACAGGTGATCTACCTCTTGAACCACTCTGCCAGCCCTTTTTGCTCTGGTTATTTTGGAGATAGGGTCTTGCTTTTTTCCCATGTTTCCTTGCCATAGCTGGGATGTACCACCACACCCAGTTTTTTTCCATTGAGACTGATGGTGATGTGATCTGTGACTTGAATCTCCCCATCTCCCCATCATTCTCTTAATTGTTCTTTT